TGTCGGCTAAACTTAAACACGTGTGTGTGTTGGCTAAACGTAACCACGTGTGTGTGTCGGCTAAACTTAAACACGTGGGTGTGTTGGCTAAACGTAACCACGTGTGTGTGTCGGCTAAACTTAAACACGTGGGTGTTTTGGCTAAATGTAACCACGTGTGTGTGTCGGCTAAACTTAAACACGTGTGTGTGTTGGCTAAACGTAACCACGTGTGTTTGTCGGCTAAACTTAAACACGTGTGTGTGTTGGCTAAACGTAACCACGTGTGTGTGTCGGCTAAACTTAAACACGTGGGTGTGTTGGCTAAACGTAACCACGTGTGTGTGTCGGCTAAACTTAAACACGTGGGTGTTTTGGCTAAATGTAACCACGTGTGTGTGTCGGCTAAACTTAAACACGTGTGTGTTACGTTTAGCCAACGGTTTGATCAGGTGAATGGTGGTGAGCAGTGTTCAAAGTCCTCGCTATCATCACTTCACCAGCACATGTCTGCCCCCCATATCTGAAATAGAACCCCTGATCTTCCAAATAAAATCCCCTCCTCTCCTCTGTGCTTGGTTCCTCTCCTCTGTCCTTGGCTCCTCTCTCCTCGTGCAGCACGTAGGTTGTGATGGACAGATAGCGTCGGACCAGCAGGAGGATCGATGTGGAGTCTGTGGAGGAGACAACTCCAGCTGTAAAGTCATCAAGGGAAACTTCACCCGCAGCACCAAGAAACAAGGTCTCTGAAAAACTCTAATGTCTGACTGAAACACCCTCTGGTTACACACTAACAGCTGGTTGAACCTCAGTCAGTCCAGAACGCCTGGACAGGAAGTAGATATATGTTCTGTAAAGTAAACACGTACCAAAAGTACATGAGTGTAACGGCGTTCTGTTGCTATTGTTTCCCTTTGATAATGTTTCTGATCGATAAATGATTATTGTTCCCGTTTCTTAGGTTACCTGAAGATCCTGGAGATCCCCAAAGGAGCCCGACACCTGCTGATCCAGGAGTTCAAAGAGACTCCTCACATCCTGGGTAAGAGGAGGGAGGATGAGCCTGTTTGAGCCGACATGAACTTCTGTTCTCATTGTTTCGTTTCCTGCTGCAGCCGTGAGGAACCTGGAGACGGGTCACCTCTTCCTCAACGATGAAGACGTGCTCCCAGAGTCCCGAGTGCTAATCGAGAAGGGTGTGGCATGGCATTACAGCAACATCGAGGAGCGGGAGTCCATCCAGACGACAGGGCCTCTGAAATATGGAGTCCTGCTCATGGTCAGTCCATCAGTACAGACACTCTGGCTGCTTTCACACCGTCATGCAGCTAACACCCTGACAACCACCTACCTTTGAGAGCATCACCCCAAAAAGCAAGATGTTTTTTTGTTTTTTTTTTGACAACTTTATTTATCATTTTATCCATAACAAAAACATTAACATCAATGGTTAAGCATTTCTTACAGAAGTTGTAAACCCCCCGCACCCCCTCCAGGTGGCATCCCCCACTACAAACATACAATCACACCCACAACCATATACATAGGTCAAAGGCAACAGATAGGCACTAATACTCATGTGCATATAAATAAAGGCATACATGTCCCTTCTATCTGCAGGAATATATTCTGTATCCAAACATAAATACCTAAGCAAAAAAATAAATATACAAATATCAAAAAAAAGAAAAGAAAATAGACATACACTCACACTAAAGACTCAAACTAGTCTGCTTTGAATATTGCAGTCATAGTACCAGCATTTTGGACCTTCTGAAAAAGATACGAAAAAGAAAAAAAAAAGGTACAAATGATCCTGTCATAATTTGGGCATCTAAAAATATAAGTCAGAAGTCAAAGGGAGACAACGAGCGGCCAGGTGAAAGGCAGGCTCCTACTATGAGTTATGAACCATGACCACGTTTTTTCATACTTATCCTCCAGCCCACATACTGTATACCTAATTTTTTCTAAATCTAATCCCAACATCACCTCCCTAATCCAATGAATATAGATGGGAGGATTCTTTCCCTTCCAGTTCAGTAATATCAGACGACGGGCATGCAACTATGCATAGGCAATTGCATTTCTGTGGAGTCGGGACAACTCCAACTTGTCTCTAACTATACCAAAGATGGCTGTTAAAGGTTCAGTCTGCAGTGTTTTGCCCGGTATCGCCTAAAGCGAATGAAAGATTGGAGACCAGAAATTATGCAAAGACGGACATGACCAAAACATGTGTCCCAAGGAAACAGGGGAGTATTGACATCTAGGACAGTCTGGTGCAACATTGGGGTATAGTTTGGATAATCTATCATTAGAATAATGTAATCTGTGGACTATTTTAAATTGGATTAAGCCATGTCTGATACAAAGGGAGGAGGTATGTATACGTTGTATGGTATTTTTCCAGGTGTCTTCAGGTAATGCTTCTCCAAGGTCTCTTTCCCACTCCACTCTGGCCTTATCCCACGTATGAGGACAGTTACTCAGAATTAATGCATATATTTTTGATACTGCTCCTTTATTAAATGGATTGACATTAAGGACTGAATACAATAAATCCTTAGAGGGTGGAGACGGATACCCTGAGAAATATTTAGAGGCAAAGCTCCGAACCTGAAGGTACCTGAAATAATGAGATTTTGGTAAATTATGGTCTTCACACAAAAATTTAAATGACATAAAGCTATCCTCGGTAAAGAGATCTTGAAAATAGACCAAACCACATCTATGCCAAACTGCAAATGCCTGATCTATTTGGGACGGCGCAAAAAGATGATTAAACATTATCGGAGAGAAGCTACATATACTTGTCAGATTAAAATGCTTTCTGAACTGGCCCCAGATCTTAATTGAATTTTGGACCACCAAATTTGTGTTCAACACAGGTGCTCTGGTATTTAGTGGGAAAGGAGCAGTTAAAATTGAAATCGGGGAGGCTGGGAGTGTAGCTCTCAGTTCCATATCAACCCAGACCGGGCCTTCTTTGTCTGCAAACATGGTAATCCAATATGTCAATTTAGCAATGTTGGCTGACCAATAGTAAAATAACAAATTAGGCAAACCCAGACCACCCTCAGATTTGGCTTTCTCCAAACTTGCTTTCTTTATACGTGCAGGTTTTTTATTCCATATGATGGAACAAATAAAGCGATCCAGCTGGGCAAAATACGATTTTGGAAGAAAGATTGGAATCATTTGGAATAAATATAAAAATCTGGGCATTACAGTCATCTTCACAGTATTTACTCTTCCTGCCAGGGAGACTGGAAGTTTTGACCACCTATCAAATCAGTTTTGGTACGATCTAAAATAGACCTATAGTTATATTGAAAAATAGCCTTGATTGAGCCTGCAATTTCTATTCCCAAATAAGTAAATTTATCTTTTTCAATTTTAAAGGGCAGATGTTCGTAATTGACCTGTTTTGCTAGATTATTTAATGGAAATACTAAGGATTTTGATAAATTAATTTTATATCCTGATATGCTACTGAATTTTTGCAGCAAATGGAGAAGGTGAGGTATGCTCTCTATTGGATCTGATATTAGCAAAAGCAAGTCATCCGCATAAAGCAGAGTTTTATGTTTTGTTTCGCCCCTGGAAATATTCTTAATCCTGCCATCTGTTCTGATAGCAATTGCCAACAGTTCAATCGCAATGTCGAATAGGAAAGGTGACAGACTGCAACTCTGCCTCGCACCTCTATAAAGTGGAAAATATTCGGAAATCAGGCCATTTATTCTGACCGCAGCCATGGGTGTTGAGTACAGAACTCTGATCCACCTACAGAAAACGGGCCCGAATCCAAATTTTTGTAATGCTGCGAAAAGATATGTCCATTCAAGTCTATCAAAAGTCTTTTCGGCATCAAGGCTTAGGATAACCTGGGGTTGCACTGTTGAATGGGGAGAAAACATCACATTAAATAACCTTCTCACATTAAAAAATGATTGCCGTCCGGGAATAAAGCCTGTTTGGTCCTCATTAATAATGCTGGGAATAATAGGGTCTAATCGCTGTGCAAGGGCTTTAGTTAAAATTTTGTAGTCACAGCACAGAAGGCTGATTGGCCTGTATGAGCTACACTGCACAGGATCCTTATCTTTTTTTAACAACACAGAGATTGTTGCCTGAGTAAGTGTTTGTGGTAGTTTCCCTTTAACCAGTGATTCATGGGGCCCCTCCTGTTCGAGACATCTTGATAGCATTTGCTATTTCCTCAACTAACAATGGCTGTTCTAAAGATGACTGAGCATCCGGGGCAAGCTTTGGGACATCCAGAGAGTCAAGAAATGACTGGATTTCAGAGGAGTTAATATCTACCTCCGACTGATATAGGGAAGAGTAATATTGCTTAAATTGGTCATTAATTGCTCTGGGGTTGCTTGATACAGAATCAGCACCTGTATCAATTCCTAGAATTGTTTGTTCAGTTGACTGCTGTTTAAGTTGAAGAGCAAGGAGCCTCCCCGCTTTATCTCCATGTTCATAATAGACCTGTCTGGATTTAAAGATATTTTTTTCTGCCTTCCATGTCATAAGTGTATTAAATTCAGTTTGCAACAATAACTTTTCTTTGAAAAGATCTGGCGTGGGCAAAAGAGCATGGCGTCTGTCAATATCTGCAATTTTTCCAATCAGATCTTTAAGTTGTTTGGAGCGCTCCTTATTCTTATGTGCTACATAAGAGATAACTTGTCCCCTAATGTAGGCTTTCATAGAATCCCACAAAATGCCCCTTGATACATCCTGAGTGTCATTAATTTCTAGAAAGAAGTCAATCTGATTATTGAGATATGTCCTAAAATGTTTACATGAAAGTAATTGGGGGTCTAGACGCCAAGTTCGTTGGGGCGCTACATTATCTGGAAAAAATAGATCCATTTGGGGTATGATCTGATCTGTACAAAACTGTGGTATTTACTGTTAGAAATTAAGGGAAGTAGCTGGTCATCTACAATAAAATAATCGATCCTGGAATAGCTATGGTGAACAGGGGAAAAGAAGGAGAATTGCTTTGTGGTTGGATTTTTAATCCGCCACGGGTCTGATAGGCCATAAGAACGGAGGAAGGAGTTGATAACCATTGCAGCTGACGAAAGAGTGTTATTTGGTTTTGGGTTTGACCTATCCAGCTGGGCATGAAGGACGCAGTTGAAGTCCCCGCCAAGAATCAGTTTATAGGAATTAAGGTCTGGGAGAGCTGAAAAAAACTGAGTAAAGAATTGTGCATTGTCCCAGTTTGGTCCGTAAATATTAGCCAACATTAATGGCGTATTAAATAGCTTGCCCACTACCACAACATATCTACCGTTAGCATCTGAAATCACCTCAGACAGCTCAAATGAAATTCCCCTCCTAATTAGAATTGCTGTTCCCCTGGCTTTGTAATTAAAACGTGAATGATATATTTGTCCAATCCATTTATAACTTAGTCTCTTTTGGGAATTAATATTTAAATGTGTCTCCTGTAATAATATTACATCAGGTTTCAGTGATTTCAAGTGACTAAATATTTTAATTCAATTCAATTCAATTCAATTCAATTTTATTTATAAAGCCCAATATCACAAATCACAATTTGCCTCACAGGGCTTTACAGCATACGACATCCCTCTGTCCTTATGACCCTCACAGCTGATCAGGAAAAACTCCCCAAAAAATCCTTTAACGAGGAAAAAAAACGGTAGAAACCTCAGGAAGAGCAACTGAGGAGGGATCCCTCTTCCAGGACGGACAGACGTGCAATAGATGTCGTACAGAACATATCAGCATAATAAATTAACAGTAATCTGTATGACACAATGAGACAGAGAGAGAGACAGAGAGAGACAGAGAGAGAGAGAGACAGAGAGAGAGAGAGACAGAGAGAGAGAGAGATGCAGGTAATGACAGTAGCTTACAACAANCAGTATACATGTGTGACAATAGTCATATGTGTATAATAACAGTAGAAGTATGACTAATGACTAATGATGGCAGCAGCAGCAGGAGGCATCTGGCAGGACCACGGCAGCAGCACAACCACACACGTCACGCTGTCCAGGCACCGCTGTGATATGAGTTAATCTGAGAGACAGTGGAGCACAAAGGCTCGTTTAACCATGTTATTCAGCCCTTTGACGTTCCAGCTAATGAATGAAATTGCTCCTTGTTGCTTGTTTACATTATCAGGAATCATAGTGTAATAATTGGTAGTGAGCAGGTCATGTATGCTGGCTGTATCTGAAAACTTGTGAGCACGCTTGAGTCAAACCACAAACCACAAATAAGCCAAAGAAAAACAACAACAAACAAACAAAAAGATAAACAGACATAAATAAACTTCTTACCATCCTGGGCCCCTGGGCTGGTCTTCCTTAAACCTGAGACTGCCCTAAAAACTCTCCTCTCTCTCCTAAGCATATAACACATCTCCTCTAACTTAAGCTCTTACATGAACTGTGCAAGGGCCGAACGAAATGTAATGGGGCCTTTCTCTTAGTACTACCATTGCTGTCTGAGTATAGGCATTTATTTGGTCACAAGCTGATGCAACACTTGTCACTCACAGTTGGAAGGAATAACCACAGAGAGAATAGAAAAGAAAAAAAAAAAAAAAAAAACTAGTGCCAACGGTGGTGATAAAGGGGGTTAGTTAAACAAAGGCTTTAGCAGCAAGAATAAAAAAAAAAAAAAAGGAAAGACACTATCAGATTTATAGTGTCATATTGAGACCTTAAGTGAAATATTACGGCAGGGGGGAAAAAAAAACAAAGAAGAAGAAGAAAAGAAATAGAGAAAAAAAAGAATCTGAACATAAAGGAGTGTTACCATTCCGAAATATACAAATATATTTTCCCAGCCATATTAAAATGTTTGCATGAACCCTTAATATCTGAACCTTGTGATAATTTGTCCCCACCATCAGTCACATATTATTGCAGACTCATGATTGTCCATCGTGAATCTTCAGTCCAGAGATTATTGGTCTTTATTATTATATTCAGGATGGCTGAGATGTTACTCAGCATTGTCCATAGTCCTGACACAAAGCAGATCCAACTGCAGTGTAATAAAATTTAGCAGTCAAAACCTAAGCCAGCTTGCGCCAACAGCTACAATGTTGGTATTCAACATGAATAGTACCTGTTATGGCCCTAGATATTAGCTGTTACCCTCCCTCCG